AGGACCCCAGTGCTGAGAACAGACCGATGGGATGGTCTCTGACCAGGACCCCCTAACTCAGGACCCCAGTGCTGAGAACGGACCAATGGGATGGTCTCTGACCAGGACCCCCTAACTCAGGACCCCAGTGCTGAGAACAGACCAATGGGATGGTCTCCACCACAAGCTTCAGTGAAGCAAGTTGATTATCCACAGAAGGCCAGATTGCAGCTGGAGTTCATTCCCACAGCTTCATGCGTTGGCTTCTCAGAGGCTCCCCACAGACTTGTATAACTCAAATTACTGAAGAGTCTTATAAATAGAAAAACCTGGAGCCAGATATTGGGGTGAAATCTCAAAGATCAGAGAGGCAGAGAGCAAGCCACTCGTTTTTACCCCTATGAAATCCTCCGCCACCGAAAGAGAGCAAGTTCCTGTTTCCACGAATCCTCAGACTGAAAGCCCCTGAAGGTCCCAGTTGAACTGCTGCTTAGTTCCTGTCTCCTCACACCTGATATACCATTCTCCACTCAGCCATGTCACTTCTGGGATTAAAGGCGTGTGTGCTTTCCAAGAAGAGACATGAGACCTCAAGTACTGGGATTAAAAGTGTGTGCCACCAGTGTCTGACTGTTTCCAGTGTGGCCTTGAACTCACAGAGATCTCTGCCTCCCAAGTGATAGAATTAAGGGTGTGTGCCACCACTGTCTGGCCTCTGTGTCTAATCTAGTGGCTGGCTCTATCCTCTGATCCCCAGATAAGTTTATTAGGGTACACAATATAGCACCACAGACTTGGGACTCTGTTCCACACTGGCTGGCATCACCACAGGCTTTCAATAAACATCTGGATGCAGGGGCTGGAGAAAAGGCTCAGCAGTTGAGAGCACTTGCTGCTCGTCTGAGTTCAGTTCCCAGCACCCTTGTCAGTGGCCCACAACCACCTGTAACTCCAGTTCCGGGTGTCTGGAGTCCTCTTCTGGCCTGTCAGGACACTCACACACATGCGGCACATAGCCATACATAAATAAGACAATTAAAAATATTTTTAAAAGTCTGGATGCAAGTGCTCATGACACTGTAAGTCATGCATTCTTTATGGCTGTGGAAAGAGCGCCACGGGGCAAAGCCAAGCACAACCTCTGCTTAGCTTGTGTATAGTTGGGACTCCTGGACCATAGCTGCTGCGGCCAGGAATGTCTGGAGGAGAGTCAGGGAAAACACTTCCCTGCAACCTTGCTCAAACAGCCTGCCTTTTCAGCAACCTTTTAAAATAGAAATCTTTCAAATGCCGGCGATAAGTGGAGGTCTGTTAATTTCTTAAATGTACTCAAGGGACGCTATTGCACCAGTTTGCTTGACCTTTCCTTTTTCCTTCAGGTTTTATTTTATGTGTATAGGTGCTTTGCCTGTGTGTGTGTGTGTGTGTGTGTGTGTGTGTGTGTGTGTGTGTGTGTGTGCACCATGTGTGTGCAGTGCCCATGGAGGCCACAAGAGGGTGTCTAATCCCCTGGAACTGGAGTTACAGGTGGTCGTGTGTTGCCATGCGGATGCTGGGAATTAACCAGGCTGAGCTATTCCTCCAGACCACTTGGCTTTTTCTTTTTTCTTATGTGCATTGGTGTTTTGCCTGCACATATATATATATGTGTGAAGATGTCAGATCACCTGGAACTGGAGTTACAGACAGCTGCCATGTGGGTGCTGGGAATCGAACCCAGGTCCTCTGTAAGAACAGCCAATGTTCTTAACCACTGAGCCATCCCTCCGGCTCACCTGGCTTCTTGTTCACGGTGGTAAACTCTTTAACACTGAAGTCTTCTTTGTCCACCACTTCAAACAGTTCCCTTTCTGGCCGAATCAAACCTTCCCGCTTCTTTCTGCGTCATGGTTTGCTGCTGACCATCTCTCTAGAATGTGGCTGAAGGACACCGGTCGCCTTGCCACAGCCTGTGCTGTGTGCTTAGAGTTTCCCCCGTCAGATTAACTCAGGATCTCAGGACACAGGTGAAACAGAGGCCGTAAGCTGTGACTCCATAAAACAACACAAAACAAAGCAAAAATACATTTAGCTACAGTTTTCCTGCCTTGCCCACAGTCAGGACAAATCTCTGTCACCCGCCAGTCCCACAGCCGCTCAGACCCAACCAAGTAAACACAGAGAATTATATTGCTTACAAACTGTATGGCCGTGGCAGGCTTCTTGCTAACTGTTCTTATAACTTAAATTAATCCATTTCCATAAATCTATACCTTGCCACATGGCTCGTGGCTTACTGGCATCTTCAGATGCTGCTTGTCATGGTGGCGGCTGTCAGTGACTCCTTCTGCCTTCCTGTTCTTTCTTTTCTCCTCTCTGTTAGTCCCGCCTATACTTCCTGCCTGGCCACTGGCCAATCAGTGTTTAATTTATTGACCAATCAGAGCAATTTGACATACAGACCATTTTACAGCAAATACATACATACATACATACACACATACACACACACATATGTACATACAAAGCAAAGCACCAGCATTTGCTGCTCTCTGCTTCCTGACTGAGCACACACAGTGACCACCTGCCTCCCACCCTCCCACCATCCTTTCCTATCTTCTTGCCTTCTTTTCCTGATGCTGTGATAAAATATTCTGACAGAAGCCACTCAAAGGACAGAGGGCTGATTCCTCTCGGGGTTCCCGGGTCCATCATAGCAAGGAAGTTGAGGTGGCAGGGGTTTGGAGCCCTTGGTCTCACCATATCCACAACCAGGATCAAGGAGCACACACCGCTTCCCCTTTCGCCACCTACACAGTCCAGGATCCCAACCAGGGAACGGTGGCCCCATGGTGGGCATGTCTTCCCATTTCCTCAATCAAGCTAACCCCTACAGCCATGTTTGGGGGCTCCTCCCCGAGGTGGTGCCTGATCCCGTCAAGCTGACAACACTGGAACTCACAGCCACCGTGATGGATGTGCCCACACTGGGAACCAAGCCCCTTCCTTACCGTTGCGTTTGTCAGTATTTTGTCACAGACACGATAAAGGAGCTAATGCCGGGAGGACTCGCCCACCAAGGCACACAGAGGCACTAAGATCACTATCGCTGAATTTCAGCAGAAGCTGCTGTGTGGGTGCAGGTGGGGAACAGGCAGAGCACGGTTTTAGGGGAGTGAGGGAGTGAGATGGCAGGAAGTGTGGAGTTCCCTGAATCTCTTGTGTCTCTTCTCTGCTCTCCCCACACTCAGTCCTTTGTCAATTGATGGCTCTCGGTGGAACACACCTCCCTTTTATCAGCTCCTCTTCCATCTCTTCACCTCACCCACTCAGCCAATGCTCTGGGCTCAGCCTCCCTCCTCCTCTCTTCCTCCTGCCTCTTCCTCCAGTTTCTCATCTTGCCCACAAGACAGTCCAGACAGACAAAGCTAGACTTGGAACTTCAAAAGGTGCTATCTTTGTGGCTTTCTCTTTTGAAACTGATTCTGCTTGCATGGTGAGGCTTGGGATGGCTTCCTTGAGATGCAGGCTTGATCCTCAGACTTCAGTGGCACCAGCAATGGAGAGTGAGCACAGAGGTGGAAATGGAGTTGATTGAGGGTTACTATAAATTCTTCTCCTCAGCTCTTCCACCTGCTGCCTAAAAGGGTGTGGTAACTCAGAGCTGCAACCCCAGCACTGAGCAGGCCGAGGTGGAAGGGGCTCTGGGACTCGCTGGCCAGTTCTAGGTTCAATGAGATATTCTGTCTCAAAAAATAAGGTAGAGATTGAGGCAGACACCCAACATGGACCTCTGGCCTCCACACGCGTGCACGCTTGTGTGCGCGCACACACGCACACACGGAGGTAGGTGCTTGCATACACACATACACACATGCACACATACACACATGCATACACATGTTCAAATCTAGATGGTCTTTCAATAAAAAAACCTGGAACCAGATATCAGGGTGAAATCTTAAAGATCTGAGAAGCAGAGCAGCCAGGCACTAATTCTTAACTCTAAGAAATCCTCAGCCTTCCTGTTTCCTCACGCCTTGTATAATTTTCTCTGCCCAGATACCACTTCCTGGGATTAAAGGTGTGTGCCACCACTCCTGACCTCTGTGTCCAATCTAGTGGTTGGCTCTGTCCTCTGATCCTCAGACAAATTTATTAGGGTACACAATATGTCACCACACACACGCACATGCACATGCACACACGATTCCAGAGAAGCTCAGAGATTCAGACTCCATCCATCTGGAGGAGGGGACCTCAGCACCAACATTTTTAACATTCTTCATGATCCTAGAAATGGATAAAATGAAGAAACCTTGAGAACGAGTTTGAGTCATAATTGTTATATATGTGTAGAATATAAATCATGAACAAAACAATTGGATTCTCTACACATGCAATGAAGAAAAGCCACTGGCTTAGTACCACTTCCCATCTGCAACCCTGTACCTCACACCTCTTGATAAAAGCATCCTTCCACCCTAACCACCACCATCCAGCTGTGAGACCACTGAGCCAACATAAAGGCCAGGACAGACCTTACAGAGTGCTGTGTGGCTGTTTTGAAGTATCTGCAGACAGGAAAAGTTTGTGTGCAAGGTGCATGCATGAGAAGCAGTTGTGCACTGTGGTGGAGAGCCTGGGTGGATCCTCTTCTGAGACACTCTCAAACAATGAGACCAAATCCCATCACGGCTTCTTCCCTTTGGTACAATCAACATGGCGAGAACTTGGGACCAACCCTCTGAAAGCTCCCCGCTGTAATTATTAATGCACATTAACTGCACAAAACAACAGGCTCTCATTCCTCGTCCTTGGCGGTCCCTTCTTATCCTTGCTGGCTCTTGACATTTTTGTTTTGATTTTATTTATTTATTTTTGTTTTATTGAGACAACGCCTCACTATGCACCCTCTGCAGTCCTGGAACTCACTCTGTAGACCAGGTTGGGCTCCAACTCCCAGAGACCCACCTGCCTCTGCCACCTGAGTGCCAGGATTAAAGATGTGCACTGCCATGCTCAGCCCTTTTTTGTTTTAAAGTTTCCATATGTGACAGGAAATACACATTGCATGTAGTTCTATGTTTGGTTTTATTTTTGAACTGTGATAGAATCTCATTGCCTTCATTTTCTTCCAAATGAGATAACGTCATTCTATCTGTATGCATGATATTCCTATTGTGATTTGGGCAATGCTTAGACACAAAGAAAGGTGGGAGCATAGTTTCCAGCAAAAAATCAAATAAAGGTACTCTTTTATTGAATGCCGAGAAAACAATAAAAGACATTACCAAAACAATGGGTGAAGGGATGAAGGAACATGGAGGAGGTACCTGTTATTTTTCTCAAATGACTCAGAAAAATCTCTATAGCACAGAGAGAAAATAATGAAGCAAGATTGTAGCTAGAGTTTTCCTGCCTTGCTCACAGTCAGGACAAATCTCTGTCACCCGCCAGTCCCACAGCCACTCAGACCCAACCAAGTAAACACAGAGACTTATATTGCTTACAAACTGTATGGCCGTGGCAGGCTTCTTGCTAACTGTTCTTATAACTTAAAT